GACTGCAGAAAAAGGGGAATCAGCCATCGTCTTTTTCATACGAGATGAAAGTCTGCGGAAATATTAGGACAGAAAGCTTTTCGAGTCCAATCCGTCTTGTTTAATACACTTTGAGCTAGACATTGTAATTTCCCTTTCGTTCCCAGAACAAAACACTTTGCCCCCCAGCAGCAACAACAGCAGCAGCGTGGATGGGAGTATGCAATGCGTCAAGATGATGCTTCAGAGCAAGATCCTTCGTCACTACAAGATCACAGGAGAGCTGCCCAACACCACCAACGAATTCGACTCGCAGACCGGCTTCGGACAGACAGTCCAACCTTCAGTCAATGCGCAGGCCAAGCCGACGTTAGGCACCGGTGGTGGTCGAGCCCGGCCATCACCGAGTTCTTATTCGCGACCAACACTCCGCTGTCATTCTTCCCGGAGTTCGGGCGGTCGAGACTCCCTGCTCCTCTCCGATAGACATGCCGACGAGGAGCCTGTCAATGCAAGTGGTGACGGTTCATGGACCGAGTCTACCACGGGGGCTGGGGGTGCAAGGTCTCTTCGCAAGAAGTTGGTCGATGCGATCTCCAGACGTTCTCCTCTAACCATTGCTGCTGCAATCTCACCGGTACCCTCATCCGGTGGCCCGGCCGGCTTCAAGACGCTTGATCCTCCTCCAGACTACTTCGCAGACCGGACAAAGCCACAACTGTTCATTAGTTCAGACGAATCTGTACCGAATTTAAAGGTTTCGTCGCCCTTACCTACCGAGTTGTCATCCAAGGCGTCTTCTGCCGTCTCTTCTTCGCCCTATATCACAGCAATTGCCACCAGTAGTGCCGCCAGCTCCGCTGAAACCATCACAGCGCTCTTTTGCAACGCTCCAGCAACGGCACCGGTCTTTGGGTTGCACAGGCTCGGGGCAACACGATCCTTCTCTTCAGACAGCTCCCCACATCAAGAAACTTCTGCTTTTGATGCCTCCTCCAGCAAGCTTTCTCCGCCAATACCACCACCAACACCACCACCACCACCAATTGTCACGGCGAAACATACAATGATCCATTTTCAACCAGACACGCGTGCTCCTAACCAAGCCTTCATGCCAACTACGTCAGGCCTGTCTGTTGAAGTGTGCGGCCAGGGAAGATTTGAGGAAGTGACGAAGACTGAGTCCTCGAAGGCCGTGCGATTCTGCCAGACCCCGAAACCTCTTGTCTGCCTGCAGGAGGCGGCCGGCCCATATGCCTCTTCAGCATCTTCGCCAATGCAGACAAGCAGTCCAGATTGCCTCGGTCGACACGCCCGCACTGCTCTGATTCCTTCCACGGACCCCATCCTGCAACCCTCCACACCCCACTTGCCTTCTCTCGCCCGTTTGGCTTCCCTTCATCCTCCTGCCACTTGCCCTGTCTCTTCCTCCTCCTCGTCACTAAGCTCCACAACTGTAAATCCAACTTCGTATCCAGCCTCCACTTCATCTGGACCTCCCAACCCTGTTGTGATGGCCGCCAATATGTCAGGACCAGGAACAGTGATGCCTTTGTCTGTTCGGACCATATCCGAGTTCACCATCAAGGCTCCTCCAAAGAAGCGGCTCAAACTGATGCACTTGTGCTCCAGCTTCTCTCCCTCTCTCGCTATGTCCGCGGTTATGTCCACGTCTCAAGAACCGAACTCTCCTATCTCCTTCGAAGCAGGTGGGTGCCTATTTTACCAAACGTTCACTAGGTATACTGTCAGGTTGACAATACGATCCTTGTCAGCCCATGTCACTCAAAAGTAAGTTAAGAACTGACGATGTGAAGACCAAGATGTTGTTGCAGTCTCCTTTCGACTTAGAGAAGTGGGTTGACCTCATTGTCGCAACTTGGTCTTGTATTCAGG